TCGGTTTGTTTCCTGTATTTTGTTGCACAGTTTGAGCTTGGAAGCGCAAAAAAGGGAATGATCGAGGTCCGAAACAACTCAGCTGATCGTTTTCAAAGTTTCCTCCAAATATTATTTCAGGTCTTACTGGCCATTTAGAAGAAGACTGTTCACTTCGTTGGAAATACGAATTTTACTTGTGTTTCACTCGAGCTGTATCCTAAAGCTTGAATTAAAAGATTTCTTTTTGTGGGGTCAGTATCTTTCTCCTGCTTAGGCATGTTTAATAGTCCCATATAAGCAGGTGTTAAATAATGTGAATGTAAATATTAAATAATGTGAAGCCCACCGCAGTGATTACACTTGGGTGGCTTGAACTATGGTGGGCTATTATCAGTGTAACATAAGATGTTTCATAAGTTCACAATGACATTTTAACAGTTTTCATAATGATGATTAGCTCCAGTTATGTCCATTTAAACATTATTGCAGTTTTTCTGATTAAGAATAGATAACTTATGGGTAAACGGGGTTTATTTAGGGCAGACTGGTGACGAACACCAAACATTACAAATGACAAATCTCGGGAAACTCACGCAGACATGGACTAAATACACAAGATAGGTTGAACTGAACAAGCAACAGGTGATTACAATCGGGGTAGTACACGTAGGTAATGAGGGGCGTGGCACACGAGGATCGTACAAGCCGGGCGTGACATCATGTGAGAAAATTAGAACACCCCATTTTTACACATCAAAAAAAAAAAAAAGACACGAACATGTGTATTTTAATGGAGGAAAAAGTTAGGACACCCTACCCCCTAATAACTAGTGTTGCCCCCTTTGGCTGATATAACTTCAGTGAGATGCCTTTTACCACTCTCTGACATCGATCAAAGGAAAGTTTGCCCCACTCCTCAACGCAGAATTCTGTCAGCTGTGAGATGTTTGAGGGGTTTCCTGCATGTACAGCCTGTTTCAAGTCACCCCACAGCATCTCAATGGGATTAAGATCAGGGCTCTGGCTTGGCCATTCCAGGACTCTCCACTTCTTTTTTAGCCAGTCCT